AAGTAATGAATAACAGAGTGGACTACTGCCAGAAAAGAGTCATTTCAATATTGCATTTCATATCTCAGTACAAGAATAAATGACACCAAAGGGCCCTAAAAGCTACAGGGAGAAAGCTCTGAGTTGTGCAATGACACAGTAATGCATAAGTATCCAAGGATTCACAATCAGAAATACAGTTGAAAAGCTCACATCCAAAAACAAAAATTAACTAAAAATAACATGAAAGGAAAACAGGGATCACCACACATTTGTACTAATGGCGAGTGCTGGCTAATAATTTCTTCCCTGCATTGTATGCATCCCTTGCCAAATGAAGTCTAAAAGCCAGCAGGTGATGGATGGGGGGGGGGTGTGAGGAGAAGCCTGGGAGGTTTGTGCATGCATGCGGTAGAGCAGGAAGGAGTTTGCCAGGAATGCAACCCAAATCACACTGTGGCAATTAGAGTTACAACTCTGTCCATGTTGCTCAGCACAATTACCTCATTACTACAGTTCAGCCGCTGTGATCCAACACTTTTCACATTTGTAAGAGTAGGAAGAATTGATGGCATTTCTTCCTTTTGTGCATGGCTATGAAAGTGATGTTTCCATTATGGTTCAAAGCTAGCGGAAGAGACAGTAAAGAGCCCTTTTGATTGTCTATTAATATTAAAGGACAGCACCACAAAAAGTTTGCAGAGTGTTTTTCTCCCTCACTCTCTTAAACAACCCGGAAACACCTGTTTTACCTCTCTTGAAAAGAGGTTCATGGAATCTTTGCATCTCTCTTTGAGAAAAATCAAAAGGAGAAATAGACAGAAATCCATTTATCTTTTTAGAAAACCCAGAGGGGGGAGACAGGTGCAAAAAGCATGTTACAACAAGCCATTCATGAAGTATGGGGTTGCTAGTGTGCCAATCATTTCTGGTACTGGTTGGGCACGCTGGTGTTGTTTTTCTATGGGCGGGCAATTTTCTTACCCATTCTCAAGCATTGGGACACTTAGGATGGGACATCAGTATCTTTCATGTGCAATGCTTTTGTGTCTTCCCTCTGCTTCCATCGTTCCCTCCCCAACACAGAACATTTATTAAACAGGGCAAGAGTGGAGTAAGTGCTTAATGCTTTTTTATTCACAGTGTGTTCATATGTGGAAAGACCAATATGTGGAAAGACCAATATAAAAGAGAAATGAAGTGTGAGCTTCAGGTGAGAGTCCGAACGCAGCTGGCCAAACTTGAGAAACAGCATTCTCAGTAGTTTCACTGCAACGTTTTAATTCCCTACCAAGGCAAGCTCCTCTAACTCCCTTGCTGGTGGCCTCAAGCAAAATAAACACATAAATAATTGTAAATCATTTAAATAAGCATTTGACCTACAGAACTGATTTGTCCATTTGCTGTGGAACGCAACCAAAATATATTTGTCTTTCAATATATTTTAATTTGCTACCATTTTTCTGTTCTTACCTCATTTTATACACATTTGTACATTTATCATGTACACTGTATTTTAAATGACCTGCTGCATATTCCATTGAAATTAAAATATTAAATCCTTCACATTAAATGCTTAATATTATAATCACTGTGTGATGTACAATAGCAGATAAGAGTGTTGGAGTAGGACTCTGGAGATGTGAATTCAAATCCTCATTTGGCTCTGAAAACTCATGGAGAGGGGAGTTGAAGTGGTAAATCACAAAAAATCTCTATTAGGATCACTGTAAGTTTGAAAGAACCTGATGACACATAGTAAACATTATTAATATATAGCGGCCCAAATTCTGTAATTAATTGAATTCAGTTGATTCCAATGAGCCTACCCAAACTGACTTACTATGCTAAAGTAAATTGCAGTTAAATTAGGCCCATTTGGATCAATGGAACTTACAGAGTTGACTCACCAAATCCCCACTGATTCAACAGGCTTATTTTAGTGTAATTTACTCTGCTGAACAACAGGATTTTGGCCAATACATAATATGCAGTATAAAGCTACTCCTATAGAGTATTAATTATTAAAACAACCTAACTAGACATTTCTAAAGGATGTTATTAAAACAACTTAAGACATTTCTAAAGGAGGTTTCAAAAGGAAATGTGGATTATAAATGAAATAAACAACTTAAAATCATACAAGATAGTTTATTACCAAAAATCACTTCCTTTCTATACAGCTATTTTCTAAGCAACTCTGCTTCTTTCAGTCAACAAGATCTACAGATCAAAATAAAAGTCCTATTTATTTATATAGCTCAGTAACAGGGTAGCATCCAATAAATCAAGATTCAAAAGAAATAACAGCCATAAAATAGTTTAGTGACAAAAGAGATTGTTACATCCAATCTGTTGTATTTTAAATCCAATATGGTTTCTTCACACTAAGAACATATTTTAACAGTTTGGGCACTGCACAAAGATATACAGTATTACCCATACAAATAGCAAAATGCAGACTTTGCCTGTCAATCTGACCCGACTCCCATACGCATAGCTGCAACTAGAAATCAGCATAATTGTCAGAGGCAAAATAAAAGAAGACCTGAGACTAACGCAACACCTACACTGCAGGCTGTTTTGTGTGCAGGGGAGCAATGTGCTAGCAATTTATTATGACAAAATTTTTATTGGGCCTACACTAGAGAATACCATGTGGTACCTTTTTATGCTTTTATCATCTTTCTGAGCCTGACACACAGATGCCAGAGAAATGACACTACTTGCAAACCCATTGGGGATTCCCAGCTTACTGAGCTGTGCCATCAGCAGAGACCCTCCTTCAGCAGCTGAATATCAAATTCTAACTGGTAGCAAGCACAACAATGCCCCATGGGCCCTCCTCCCTCTTTTGTATGCAAATATGTGTGGTGTGTAAAGGTAGATGAAATCCTGATAGCAACACCCTAAAATGTATAAATAAATTACGTTTCACTGATGCTTAATGTCACCTGCAACACTGCAATACAGCTTGGAATGACAACAAAGAATAGTAACACTGAAATAGAGCAGCAGGTGTTGTGACAGATCACCTAAAGCCTGACCCTAGCCTTTCCAGAACTGTTGTTTTATTTCTGCTAATAAGACAACTGCTTTAATACATCACTCAAACAAAAATAAATTAATAAATTTTAACATTTTATGTATCCTAATGCTGACAATAATATGGGGGAAGCTAGAATATTTATGTGGGATACTTTAAATATTTTATTTGGCCAAAAGCTGGGAAATATAAATTAGGATAAATGAACTGATTTGCTGAGAGCAGCTCATATATGTAGGCCATACAATCTCAGCCTGTCAAGTAACAGTTCCTTTGTTCACATGGCTTACAACAATTATTAAGTGCACAGACCAAAAACTGAAATGCTAGGCAGCTTGACAGTTAGCATAAAATTACTCTCCACTTAAACACCGTGATTACTGTGATTCCATAATTACTCATTTGTTTCATAAACACAGCTAGAATGGCTCACAAAAGAAAAAAGCCACAGATTTGGAAGTGTTTTTTTTTTAATGATGAAGGTCTTTACCTTGATATTTTTTTAAAAAAACTACTCAAGCTTGTCAGATCAAACATATTAAGATTTCATCCTACAGTAAGCCCCTAGAAAACCAATATGGAAGCAAGCGTGCACACACTCTCATACAAACTCTCTATGGAAAAACTGTGTGAAGTGGCTTTGTGAGCAAACTGCTTTCTGGGACCTGGGCCATAATACAACGTACTTTTGTCTACAACATCAAATGCTTTTCCAGGCAATAGAACCACAGGGTTTTCAAACATGGAAGCCAAAGAATCCATTGTTTACACAGCTCAAAATCCAGGACTGTAACAAAGGATGAAATCCAGTGCATACACTACTTACCTTGCAGGACATCCCACAGAATTCAGAGGAATTTATTCCTATTTTCACTATAAATCAGGCTGTAAATGTTGGCAAGATTACAGTATAAAGAAGGCCACCTGCTATGTAATACCTAAACCCCAGCTCGTGAGGATGGGAGAACAACAGAAACAAAGGTAGGAGAAAGCATGTTTTAATCTCAGTGTTTTGAGGCACTGCAAACTGCAATTAGCATTTTCCATTGAGAAAATGCCTGAAATACAAAGTGTGTATGCAGAATAGGAGAGGAGCACAGCAGCTGAGCCCAAAGAACAACAAAGCTTCTCAGGATGTTAGCCTTAATTAGAATGAAGTATTTTATCCCATCTGCTTCCATGCCACATTTAAACAAATCATCCAATATATTCCCTCCCCACCCATATTATATACAACTGAATGCTCAAAAATATTCAGTAAAGAACAGTTGGAGCAAGTGCAGTGTTTGTACTCCTATTTAGAGTCAATCTTAGAGGTAATGACTGTATTTGAGGTCAGAAACATAAAAGCTGTTAAACAGTTTCACTATCTGACAACATGAGATGTATTACTAGATGCACGAGATTTGCAATGACTGTGATGCTTACATACTTGCCCACAGGCATCCCTAAAATGCTAACTAGCAGAGGAATTCAGACGGTACTCTCAATCACTGGATGTGTGACCTTGAGGGCAAGGCACTCCTCAGTGAGTTTACTTCCTGGTAAAACAGGTACATCAATGTTACACATTCTTGGAGGGGGCACTCCAATCAACCTTTTGCCAAAGAGGGAAAAGAACAACAACATCCAACCCAGGGTCAAAGGGAGGTGAAAGAAAGAAACCGCTAAGGAACATTATCCTCAACAAGTAGCCCTATTTCCCTACGAAATGATATACGGGACGGGAAGTGAACAGCCATTTAGAATGCTCAAGAATCGAGTCAAATCGGTTTTAAGATGTAAAGAACACGGCATGCAGTAATTAAAACCGCTGGAATAAAACAGACGAAAGCAAGGGATCTTGGCTTTTTCTGCCTAGTAACAGGTACCACCTATGTCTCTCAGTTTACATATATTAATCCACATTCCTATATAACTAAAGCCATCAGATCTGTATACTGTACCTTTATTCACAGCAAAGAAACACTCTTACCAGTTTGCTACGAAGCGGGGACCCATCGTACTCGTTGCAAGAGTCGCTGCTCTCCCATCGCTAATTAATAACGACCACCGGGGGAAGGGCACCTCTCCTGCCGCCTCCCGTTCGTGCCGCAGTCGTCCCCTAAGAGGAACCGGGAGCTGACACATCAACAAAGATGGCTGCCGGAGACGTCCGGAGCCGCTTCAGCTGAGAGGAGGCGGAGCGAGACCGGATTATCTGCCTGCAAGAGGGAGGAGAGAGCCTGCCGGTTGACTCGCTAGTCTAGCGCGGGGCCAGGAAAGGATGGGGCCCCTGGGAAGCTTGCAGGCTCTCGCACCTCGCCGTATATTGCTCAACCGCTTGAGTCACACAACCCCTGACGCTATCGCCATTTGTCATCACCGACGCGCGATTGACAGAAACCGTGGGAAGCTCGATAGAGAGCCTGTCTCTCGCTGGTGTACCTAGTCGGTCGGTCGGCTGGCCGGCTGGCTATCCTCAGGGTTGTTAGGTGGTGTGTACACGTGGGTTCGGAGGATTTCCTCAGCTACCTCATTCGCGGGCTGGGCTGCAAACTTTCTGCAAACCTACCCACCCCGAAATGGCTAAAATGGGGTTGGAAAGGGACACGATCAAAACATCCAAACGAAGTTGTAATACTGTGTATCGTTGGCGATTGTACATGGAAGGGTTGGAAGTGATTAACAGACGCGTTAACAGAGGCATTGCCTTGTTTTTGCTCTGCAACCGGAGGCATAAAAACACGCTTCATTTCATTTGATCAAACTCGCTTCTCGCACTTAACTCGCCAGAAGCTTCCTTAGGCTCTCCGTGTTTACTCTGGCATTTAGTTTCAGGGATGTCATTCCGAGTAGAGGGCGTGCAGTTTGGGTGTGTTCGGACTTTCAAGTACCCCAGGCAATGGTGTCTGAAATTCTCTGGAAACTGTAGTCCGAAATCTGCAAAACTGTACTAAGTATGAAAGCTTAAAACAGGACTACAGTATATACTTGAACATTAAATAACGTATGCATGTAGAAGCTATTAATTTAACCTGCCAAATGGATATCGGAAGTTGTAAAAGCTCAAATCCGTCTCTTCAGTAGTTCCCTAGGTGCTTCTGATCTCGCTGCCCCAAGTGACTAGGCGAAACTAGTACTCAAGTTTGGACCAAACACAGCTTGCAAACCATGGCAAAACCATGCAGGGGATCGACTCTTCAGCAAATAAAACGGCGGCAGCATCAAGGGTGAGAGTGCACTGATGACACACTGAATGACCACAACACGTGCACACTTTCATTTCACAGAGCTGTCCCATTATCAAGAATCGAATCGTAGAAACTTTTCTCATGAACCTACGATGCCAATGCAGTTGACAAGATAAATCATATCCCTTAACTGTATTTGTCTGCGTTGTGTTGTGTCGGTGGCTAGACAAAGATTACTGTGCTGTGCCAAATCATGTAAAGCACAATACTCGGCAACGTATGGCGAGTGCTTATTTGAGCGTGATAGGAAGCAGCGTACAGCCGTGCACATATGTACGCACACACCGGATGATATAGTTGTAGCACACGCAACAAAATCTGCACAGCGTTAACTGTTGGGAAGCGGCACATCCTGCACAAAAATCCTAGGTAAGCCAGCAAGCAGTGCAGCGTCTTCTCTCTAATATCTACCCGAAAGGCCCAAAGACGAAATGTGCTTATGATTAGGTATAACACGCAGCACGAGCGTGGGGAAAAAAACTAGCGGCTTGCACCCGTAGTGTGGAAAATAAACACGCACGGTATTTACATGGGCAGACACCGACCAACCCCCCCAAAGCAGCTTTCCGCTCGCCTCCAACCGTAGAAAGCTGAGTAAGAAAAACGCATCCTCCCGATATCTATATCACCTGTTTCCCGCCGCCTTCCGTGTTGCGCATGCGCTCTTGCCTTCGCAGGGCGGTTTTGCTGTGGGACAGGCGCGAGGAGGCGGAGTTGAGGGCGCGCGCAGGGCACGAGGCAGGGAACGACGTGGTGGGGGGGAAGACGGCGGGTTTGTTTGTTTGTTTTTGCGGTTTGCTGCAGCGCTTCACGGACGTGGATTCTCGGTGGCTGCCGGAGTTACAGCGGGGGACAGCAGGGGAAGTGGACGACCGAGACTCCTTGGTTTTGGTGGGGTTTTTTGGTGCCTAGTTGTAGCTAGTTCCCGTTTAGATTTCCTCTCTTATAAATCTCCCCGGGTTTGGCTTTGCGGGTCTTTTTGTAACCACGTCATGCCCCTCATCTTTTCCCCTCAGAGGGGCCGGGGTTATAAATGCGTGGACCTCTTCGGGGCAAAGCATTGTCGGGTCCCTCTTTGCGTGGCTGCTCCTCCTCTTCTCTTCCACTTCCTTGTTTCTTTCCCTGCACTCAAGGGTATGCAGAGGATGTGGTTTTCTGCGCTTTTACCCGGAAGTAGGTCCTATTGAAATAAGACCATACTTGGTGAAAGCTTAAGCCTTCACCAAAGACAGTTGGTGCTGTCTTTTGTGGCTCTGGTAGTTTGCCTGTCCCAGGTTTCCTCTTTTATTACATTGGTTAATCAGTTTACTGTATTCGCGAAGGCTTTCACAGCCGGGATCTAATGGTTGTTGTGGCTTTTTCGGGCTCTTTTGCCATGTTCTGAAGGTTGTTCTTCCTAACGTTTCACCAGTCTCTGTGGCCAGCATCTTCAGAGGACAGCACTCTGTGCTCTGGTGTA